CTTTGTCACTGTTTGTCCTCACAGCGCTCTGGATAGATTCCTTATTGATCAGATATGTGCTGTGTTGCAGGCTGATGGATCCCAAGATGAAGAGCATGAAAGGAAGCAAACTAATCATGTGAAAGATTCACTTCAATGTTGTCCATATCACCTTCCATCATCACAACAGCTTTTCTCAAACATTTACACTTTGTCTTTAGTCTGTTTTTACTTAAAGCAGCAGCAAAATGTTTGAGCCTTTAAAAACATGAGGAGAGGTGATGGAGACAAGTCATTCCAATCTGATGGAGCTTTAGACTGAAATATACAAAGTCCAGTTTCTTTTCTACTTTATTCCATGCAGCAAAAAATTATAACCGTCTGTAACAACCTTCAATATGTATAGTTCAGTGTTCGTAATTCTGTTTTTGACAAAAGAAGTCGCCGACCCAGTTATCAAAATGAAAACAAAAGAACAGAAATAGAAAGAAAGTTATTTGACTTGGATCAAACAGTTTTCATTTAATAAAATACGAACACTCCTATTTGCATCCAGGGGCCACGCAAAGTTCTCCTACTACTCTCCAGTCATGCATCGTCTGCTTCTCTGTGCTCCAGCGTTTCTGTCCAACCAGCTGAGCTGCTGCCACTTACTTCCTGTCTATGGGAGACAGGAAGTGATCAGTAGATGATCAGTTTGGCAGGTGAATTATCTATTGATGGCAGTAACCATAGAAACCACGTTTTAAAAGAGGCTCAGAAAGTTTCTATTAAGCCGTTTTCTTTCGAGGTGAAAACACCGAAAAACCTAAGTTTTATTAATGAAAAGATAATCATAAACTAAATCTGTCATCTTCTAGCAGCTGATTGACCTGCATTGTCTAAATTTGTTCCACTTGGTCACTTTAAAAGCTGCCGGATGTTTTTCAGAAAATTAAAGTCCAGATGACAGATGGAGAATTTTCATCTCCAATGATGAAAATGATATTTAATAATCAAATGTTCATTTTCCGTCCTGTCAGTGGAGCTCGGTGGTTCTGGGGTTTGGTCACAGCAGAGCCGTGACAACATGGACTCTCTCTGTAAACGAGAAGAGAGGCTGATGGTTTGCTGAGTTTTAATGTCGGTTCGAATGCTGACATTGTGTCAGAACACACTCAGGTTCTGACAGAGTCAGAACATCTAACATGGATTCCTGGTCAGGAGGGATTTTAATGCTCCATATCTGAGGGCAGTAATGATGCAGATTCATCAAACATGTCATCTTGCTTATTCCCGCCGCACTGATCTGTACAGATTATGGTTGGATGAGAGATTGAGCTGCCTGAAACGAGGATTTGAGAAGTTATGAAGAGTAATAATTGCTTTAGCTAAAAGTGGCCTGACCCCAGTGGGTGACCCCCAGTGGGTGTGAGGGCCAACAGCTGCTCAGACAGGAGAAGCATTTCAGCTCCTTGTCATAATGTTAATCAATGTTCAAAAGGAGGATGAAAAACATAAACTCTTTTAAAAGATGACACTGAAAAATGTTTTCTCAGCTGTAACCTTTCACCTTTAAGAAACAGATTGAAGAAGCAGTGTTGTCCTCTGCTTCTGCGTCTTCTGCATGCTTCATTATAACCCAGAGGGAACACACAAGTTATTATCATACCCACCATATTAAAATGTAAAATTAAAACTTTATGATAAAGTGCACTCTGACAGCTCAGCTCTTCTGCAAATCATTCTGAGGAATAAAACAGATGTGAGAACATTTTACATGACACAGTAAAGCACGCCGTGTCCCAACCTCTGCTGCGATCTGCAGCCAGGCTGGTGAGGCGGCACGGTGTGGGCGACAGAGCTGGCCGCCGCTGGCCGCCGCTCTATCTGCTACCCTCTCTGATGAATAATGGAAGAAGCGGTGAGCGGTGTGGGCGGCAGAGAGGGATGGCCTCTCCTCAAAATAGACATCAGTGCAAAAATGCAAAAGATCTCATAGATGAGCTGGAGAAGACCAGAACCGGAGAGCATTCAGCTTCAGAAGCAGAACTCTGCAAACAAGTTGTCTTCACATGGATCTGTCATGTAAAATCCTTTTATACAGAAAATGAAAATATTTACACCGCTGGACTCAACCACACTGTTCATGTAGTTACTGGAAACTGAAAGTTACTGAAAGATTGTTCTGATGGAAGAACCTGGTGGCTGATTAGAAATGTACGCCACACTTTGTGTGTGTGTGTGTGTGTGTGTGTGTGTGTGTGTGTGTGTGTGTGTGTGTGTGTGTGTGTGTGTGTGTGTGTGTGTGTGTGTGTGTGTCCCAGTCTCAGTGGAACTTTCTGCAGTCAGGCTTTCAGCTCTCTGCTCCGTCGGAACGCCGATCAGCTGATCAGACATCCGGTTCGGTTCCGATTCATTAGAAACGACATGAACTGTGACGGGAGCTAATCAGAGACTCTCCCGCTAATTTCGGAACCCAGAGTGTGTGTGTGGGTGTGTGGGTATGTGGGTGTGTGTGTCTCTCTCTCTCAGCAGAGCTGAGACTATTTTTAGAAACAATGTTGCGGTGGAGGAATCATTTAAACCGAGGATAAACCATCGGCTCGGAGCGGATCCGCTGCTTTCTGCTCTCCTCTTCCTCTCGTCCTCTTCCTCTCGTCCTCTTCCTCTCTTCCTCTTCCTCTCCTCCTTTCCTCTCTCCTCTTCCGGCCATGGGACAAGATGCTGCCGCTCCGCCAAGACGCTCCTTCCTCAGCCAACTTTTGCGCCATGGAATCCGCCGCACTTTGCAGAACCGGTGTCAGCTTTGCGCTCTTTGGGACTTCACTGACTTTCCTGTTTGTCTTTTTCATCATGTTAGAATATGTTGAGATGTTTGCAGTTTGGAACATCGCTGGGAAGTGTCTCCCTGTGAGAAACTAAGCTCTGAGTTGCAAGCTGAAGGTTTTTTTTCTACTTTGAAGTGCAGATTTTCGCGGCTCTTATGGGAATTAGACACTCGTCTCGCTGCATGCTCCTCAGGAGAAAAATGGCGGAGTCTGAGAGCGGAGAGGTAAGTGTAAAAAAAAGGAATTTGATTTGAACTCGGTGTGTAAAAATCACAGCAGGGAGTTAAAGGCGTGAAGAGCCGTGGATGCTGCAGCACCGACTGACTGTCCGGGGATCCGGGGTCTGTCTGCATGTCTGTCTGTCTGCATGTCTGTCTGTCTGTCTGTCTGTCTGTCCAGGCGTCCTGCGGAGCTTCAGACATTAATGAAATGATTATATCGCATCAAAATGAAGATGCGTTGCAGTGGAAATGAAACAGATCAGTTGCAACCAGCCTGCTAAACATCAGTATCATCGTGCATTAAAACATCGCGAAGGTCTGAGCAGCTCAGGACTTTATCAGGAACATTCAACAGAACCGTCCGGCTGGGATTTGCGTGTCCAGGATGTTGCGGTACTCTGCGGTGGAGCAGCAGAGAGGAAGCAGTTTGACTGACATGGTTTTAAAGACAGAATTTCTCCTCCTCTTGAATGAGTTTGGTAACATGCTGTGACCTTCAGCAGCACTGAGAGGTCAGAGAGATTACCCTCGTGCTTTTTTCATCACTTTCAGTTTCACAGATTAAAGATACTTTCTGTAGGAATGTTTTCTGCTCCTCTGGGATCAGAGAACCAAACGGCAATAATAATAATAATAATAATAATGATGATGATGATGATGATGATGATGATGATGATGATGATGATGATGATGATAATAATAATGATGATGATGATGATGATGATGATGATGATAATAATAATATTAATAATAATAATAATAATAATAATAATAATAATAATAATAATAATAATAATAATAGACATTTACAGGGTCTGCAACTTTTATAGTTCAAAGAGCTGTTTTACCTTTGGACCAAAAAGAAAAACATGTCACAAAAAGCAGCTTTTCATTTTTAATAAATAATTCATAAAGGAAGTTCATTGTTACCTTTTAAAGATACAACATGCTGTCTCTAAGATTTTAATATAAATCATAAAAACATAAGACATTTGCAAATGTCTTAAAGGGTGGATACATTTTATGTGTCTTGGAAAATTGTGGGAAAAAAAGAGTTTTGTTTTACAAAGTGCAAAACCTGCATGTTAATCAGATTATATTGAAAGATTGAAAGAACATATTTTTAATAATCTCAGTTATGAAAGGCCATTGTGGAAAGTTCAAAGAGCCGCTAGCATCTCCAGAACCACAGGTAGACAAACCCTGTGACTGCAAATCATTCAGTGGAAGGAAAACGATTCACTTTTTACAGACAAACAGCTTAACATCTGGAAAATCTCACAGACATTTGTTCAAACATCTAAAAATAGAAACAATGTTAAGAGATGCTGTAGATCTATATATGTTAAAAAAGGCCTAGTCAAAGTCCAGTCAATCTGAAAGGCTGTTTAGCTCTCTCCTTTTAGAGAGAAGAATGGGAAAAAATAAACTAATATTTTCTTTCAGATTTTCTCCCTGATAGTTTGTGTTGTTAAATTTCAGCAAAACATTTTGAGCTTTTTGGTTTGAAGGCGACAAAATGAGGAAAACATGAAGCGATCTGATCACCTCTGTGCTTTATGCAGAAAACTGACTGGAATCCCATCTGAAGAAACTCAGTCTAAAGTTACACTGATTTCCTTTCTGATCCGCAGATCATCATCATTTATCACGTCAGAATGTCTGTAGTTTTAAATGAGAGCGACTTTAACAGGCGGGATGAGATTCTGTGTTGTGTGAGAGACGAAAGGACAGAACTGCCCTTCTCAGATAACAAGCCTCACCTCTCTGCAGCACTCAGTCAGAAATAGAAGCATAAATGTGTTTATCTCTTCTGAGGGTCAAAGGCAGATTGTTCCACCTTCCTCTGGCTGTTTCTACAGCTGCTCTCCTCGGCTCTGCTCAACGGATCCGCTCAACGGATCCGCTCAAGGATCCGCTCAACGGATCCGCTCAACGTCCGCTCAACGGATCCGCTCAACGGATCGCACCATGGAGCCTCTAAACTACCAGACTCATTAGATCCTCTGACTCAGCAGAATTCATTTAATGAATGCTGACTCTTCTCTGGTTATTCTGGTTATAATCCTTTTGTTTTACTTGGATGTCAGAGTTTAATCTGAAACAACATGGCCTCTCTATGATCCAACATCCTATTGGTTGATTTAAATAGATTGATCACTTTGCATCAACCAGGACTCGTATGAAAATCTGAATCCAGATCTAATCCCAGGATTTGTCCTGATGAACAGAGAAAAGAAGAGCAGCTGTTCACCCTTCACTTCAACTCAAACCTCTAACCTTTCAGACCAGTTTTCGTTCTAAAATATCTGTCCACATCTACAGCTTTCACACATTTGATTTATGATTTCCTCGATTAAAACATGCCTGTTGCTGTGGATCTGATTCCCGAGGTGGGAGGGAGCAGAGTGACTGCTGGACGCTGCTGGACGCTGCTGGACGCTGCTGGACGCTGCTGGGCGCTGCTGGGCGCTGCTGGACGCTGCTGGACACTGCTGTAAGGCTGCGTTCACACAGCCGGTCCTGATGCTCAACTCTGATTTTGTTGCAATCAGGTTATTTTTTTAATGGTCATTCATACTAATGAATGATGCAATCACAATCACACTTCTGTGACTGATTAACAACCCCAAAACTATTTTACCGGCCATTTTACTGTTTACTGCAGTAAAAATGGCCGCCGTCTCTAGATGGATTGTAAAGTGGCTGAGAGTGACGACACGGCCAGCAGACGGCTAGCAGACGGTCAGTAGACGGTCAGCAGACAGTCAGCAGACGGTCAGTAGACGGTCAGCAGACGGTCAGCAGACGGCCAGCAGACGGCAGCAGACGGTCAGCAGACAGTCAGCAGACGGCCAGCAGACGGCCAGCAGACGGCCAGCAGACGGTCAGCAGACAGTCAGCAGACGGCCAGCAGACGGCCAGCAGACGGCCAGCAGACGGCCAGTAGACGGTCAGCAGACAGTCAGCAGACAGTCAGCAGAATTATGATGGAATAGTCGGATAAAATGCAACATGATGCTCCAGACTGCAGACCGTGAAAACTATCGGACACAATTTAGTTCCACATGTGGAAGTGGAGCAGATCAGATATTTGGGGGCAAAAAACACTGGACATTTTGCTGCTGGAGGGACCGGTGCACTTCAAATAGATGGCATCATGAAGACGAACATTCTGTGAAAAAACTTCATCCAGGCATGTAAAGATTGGACAGAAATGAGGCTGGAATCACCATGGAGCCAAAATGGATTCTGGACAATAAAGTCCATGTCTGTAGAGGCCAGCATGACGACCTGAGCTCAGGACCAGAGACAGTTTATAGGCGGAGCCAACAAGTCTGACCCAAATAGGCCGGTTCTGTGAGGAGGAATGGAGAAAAATTAGAGCAAATTGACCAGAAATAAGAAAACCAAAAACACCCAACTGAGAGTTCAGAGGTGATTCTACCAATAAGGCAGAAAGTTCAACATTTGGAAAATACTGAAGATTTCTCTGAAAACTCTCATTATTCTGGTATGAGAATAATGAGAATAATGGTATTCTCACACCAGAATTATTAATTATGAATAAATACTATTTACTGAGATCATTTAAATTCCATCTTCATAGTTTTCCATTTTTATTCTGCTGGAAGAACGGCTCAGAAAATTCTACATCTTTCAATGGAACAACTGCAAAGATCAGAGGAATTAGATGGAAAATGTTTTCCTTCCTTTAAAAAGGAGACAGAAGTTCCTGTGCTGAGAGGCTGAAGCCTCCATGTTAGTCATGTAAACTCCATCTTGCCAAATTTGTTTTGTTTCATGTATTTTTAGACGCCTGGAAGTTGGAAAGAGAACAAACAGCAGAGGAGCTTTCAGGGTTTTTCTGGGATGGGTTGTCTCTGTTTGTCCAGATTTGTCCTGAAAGCAGCTCCTCCTGTGCGGCTTAGAGGTGACAGTCTGAGCATCACGGCTGCAGAACCTTCTGCCTGCTGCTGCTGCTGCAGACTGGCTCACTTCAAGAAAGCTGTTTCTGTTTGCTCACAGTCAAAGGAAAGGAAAACTTGTTCTCCATCTTGAAGAACGTTTGTCTTGTTTTTTTTTAAACAGCCTCAGTCAGCAGCCGCCCCCGTCCGCATCATTCCGTCTCAGTCAGCGCAGCCGACCTCGCTGCCCAAGCCCGTGCCTTCTGTCCAGCCCGCGTCTCGGCCGGCTCTCCCCCCTCGCACCCCCCACGCCCCCGGCCTGCCCAGCTGCCCCGGCCGGGGCAAGATGGCCAAGTTCCTCAACCCAGACGAGATGACATCAAGGGACTACTACTTTGACTCTTACGCCCACTTTGGGATTCACGAGGTAAAACGTGGTTAATCACAGTTAATTCAGGATTCGTCTAGGGACTGAACAGTTTCACACATTTTTGCATCAACGGGTTATTCCTGAAATTTGTTTGATCTTTTTGCCTTTAAATTTGACAAAAAGGCAAAAACAGAAGATCTGTGAGGACTCTCCCTTGGCCTGTAGAACTGGAACAGAGATCAGGGGATCTTCACACTGGAAATACGTAGAAAAGGGAATTCAGTTCACAAATCGGTTGAAGTTTTGGACACATTTAAGGCGCTAGCAGCTTTATCCACGAAGCAGATGCAGCACCTCAGCTCTCAATCACGACCATCCAGTCCAGCAGACGCAGCAGCTGCAGCAGTTTCTGCATCAGTGGTTCTGGCTGCAGCCACAGATGCATCAGAGCCGCGTTTCAAACCAACAAATCTGACGGGTTTTAATGGTGTTATGGAAGAGTGCAGAATGATTCGGCTCCTAAATCATTTTTTTATTATTGCAGGAAAAAGGCAATAAAGGAAATTTAAATATGTGTTCAGAATAAACATTCACTTCACTAATTCCTAATGTAATATCAAATAAGGAAATATTTGATGGCTTTTTTATTAAACTCTGTAGTTTTTCCATAATATATGCAACACAACGCACTTTTCAGATCACTCTTCCTCTCTGTTTTTACTTTTGCATCCAAATAACAACCTGCCATTATTGTGCATGGAATATTTCTGATACAAACAGAGCTATCAGAAACCAACAGTTTGCAGAAATTCATGCATCGTATTTAGTTTCTCTGCAGACAAATCTTTTCAACTCCAGTTATTTTAGTAACAGCTGTGGCTTTGTGTATGGACTGTGAATCGGAAGGAAGTGCAAACTTCAGTTTTTACATTTAAACTTCAAAAATACAGTGAGAGCAAAAGTTTTGCGTCATTTTAGTTTTAGTGTCACTTTCCTCTTCAATGCCTTAAAATATTATTGAACCAAAGTTGTTTGCTTTATTCTAGTCCAGTTTCTGTTTATCTGCTTCAGAACTGCAGCAGCTGCACATTGAAGCTTTCAAATGTTTTATTACAAAGATACAGAAATCAAATCTGAAATCAAGAAATGCAAACAAAAATACTTTAAACCTGTTTTGCATGCTCAATAATACATAATGCTTCTGCAGAGACAACCATTTCATTCCTTATTTAGGAGTAGTACATGCAGAGTTATCCATAACTGTGTAATTTTTTTCTTAAGGCCATCTCCAGACGGCTGCTGCTCCTCCTCTTTAATGTTCACAAGCTTTTAACTCAGACCTTTATGTCATGGAGGGTTTTAGAGATGGCTGAGGTTATGATAGCTCAGCCTCTTCAAAAGGCCACAAATCTTAACCTTTCCTCTAACAAGCTCTTCCTGAGAGCGGCAGCATCTCAGACAGTCTGAGCTGAGATCCATACAAACTTAGACTTTTGAAGAAAAAGGATAAAATATCAAAATTATTTCTAAAATAGATAAAGTAGCTAAACTTTATTCATTATAATCACATATCTTCTTCTTTCAGCTCATATTGTTTCCTCAGATTAAAACCTGGAAGTTGTGAAAGGAGTAAAAATTAAAATATGTTCCCATTGTGACCTGTGAGATGAATTTTTTATATTTCAGGAATGTAGGTCGGCCATATTTTTGTCACTTTTGCATAGTCTCCTCACATTGATACTGTTTGAAACACAAAGGCTGAACCTGCTGGCTCACAACGCATCTAGACATTAAATATGGATTTGAATGAAGCACACAGCTGAGAGGAAACAGGGGAGATTAGCTGAAAGCTGCAAATTATTCCTCACTGCTCCACTGTAGATATGGCAGCAAAGCCAGGCTCCAAACAGCCAATCAGAGCCAAGCTTTCACTCTCGAAGGTTTGGAAACATTCCTGATTCTGACAGTTCGGTTCATTTCAGGAAATGCTGAAGGATGAGGTGAGGACGCTCACCTACAGGAACTCCATGTATCACAACAAGCACATCTTCAAGGACAAAGTGGTTCTGGATGTGGGGAGCGGGACGGGCATCCTGTCCATGTTCGCCGCCAAGGCCGGAGCCAAACACGTCTACGGGGTAAGAGGCGAGTTTCCAGTTCTGTTCAGATTAACGGCCAACTTCACAGAACCTTTTCATGAAAACAATTATGTCAACATGGAAAATGATGTGGGAGTGGTTATAGCAGTGAAAGAAAATCAGAACCCAGCAGTCATGATGCAGATGATAAAGGGGGCGTGGCCAAAATAACAGCGTGAGGCCAATCAGTTTGGTCATTCCTTCAATGATCCAGCAGGAGGCGCTATACAGTCAAATCCACGATATTGAAGCTCATAGATTATTTAAACAAAAAGGATTTCCAGTCTTTGCTTGTTTTATTTTGTGACTATAAATAAAAATAAATAAATCTAAATAAAACTTTACATTTCAGAAAATTATAGTATTTCATGAAATCAATAAAAATGATATTTTAAACAATTGTTAGGTTTCTGAATGTGGTCCTTTTGCATGAATTCTATATCAATGAGGCGTGGCACAGAGGTGATCTGCCTGCGGTTCTGCTCAGGCTCTGGAAGTCCAGGTTATCTCATCATCGTTTTGATTTTCATCAGACAAGAAAGTTCTGGTTCTGTTCAGCCCAGGTGTGGGTGATCCGTAAGCATCCAGGATCTCGATGTTTGACAGTCCAGATTCTTGTGAAGTGAACTTGGCTAGATAATCCTCTACAGGCTGTGGTTTTCAATGCTGCACCTTTTAAATCTTAATCACACATTTCTTCCTTCCACTCAACTTTTTTTGAACATCCTATCAGTACCAAGTATTGGATTTTAATCATTCAGATTTCCCAGTATTGAAATGCTTGGAGTTATACTTGTTCATAACATGAAAACCAGAACCAAACAGATGAGGAAGGAAACAGAAAACAACTTTCTGATGAATCAGTCAGCCTAAAACGGTAAAGACTCAGCCAGTGATCAATGACAAGAGGCCGATGTAAAGTTACGCTGCAGAGTCTGAACCAACATGTTCAGAAGTTACAGTTTCCTAAAGATCAGAGAAGAAAAGAAATGAACGACATTTCATGGAGTTTATGGATCTCTGAACTGAAGCCAGAGTAGACTGAAGCACGGCGTTGCCGGCGTCATGATGGGGGGATGAGAGTCGTGACGTATCGGGGTTTGTTGTTTCCTTTGTTGTTTTGATTCCAGACCAACAGGATGATCGATCCGATCAGTCGACCCGATTCCTGAACCAGGAAACATCTAACCTGCTCATTCTGAGGCAGGAAGTTGAATCTTTGGTCTTTAATCACTTTTCACCTGTTTATACAGTAAACAGGTGTTTACTGAGTTTTGCAAGAAAAAATATTTTCTATTTTATTTCTTTCTATAAAAGGAAAAAGTGATTTAGTTCATAATTTGATTTGAGGAAGAAGTTGAAGAGTTTCCAAATCATTTGCATGAAAGAACATAAAAATGATGAAAATAATTTTGGGCTTTTCCCCTTTTTAATTCCAGCTGTTTTGAGTTGAACCTGCTGTGTCACACTTTGTTGAAACATTCGTCTGATCTGCAGATGATAAGTGTGCAGACGGCAGCAGGTTGTGATCCGCTCTGCTGTTCTGTTCTGTTCTGGAGCAGAAGTAATTTGGACCCCCGGCATGTCTGAGAATAAACGCAGCATGCTCTCCCCTGGCTGGAGATGATCATGTGGAGCTTATTTTTGACTCCACTTCTCTCCACAAGCTTCAGGGAAGATGTGATTAAGTCGAGTTTTTCTGAGCTGCTGGTTGACATTCTGCCGTTTGTGTGACTTTACCTCCAGCCTGTTATTTATTTGCCTCTCATCCAGCTGTCTCTTTGGCTTTCTCATCTCTCCGTCTCTCTGTCCTTGTCTTTCGCCCCCAGTTGATGCACTTTGATGCTTTTCACATCTGTGCTGCTCCGCCTCCATGTTTCTGGGTTTTATCTACACCTAGAAAGTTCAGACTTCAGAGATGAGTTCAGCTTCCATGTCTGCATGTTGATGAATTGGATCTGTAATGAGTTGACATGTTTTAACTGCATCGGTTCCGTGAATCACTCAGTTCAGCTCTGGGCGCAGAGGGACAGAAGTACAGTTGTAACATTTTAAAAAGGCCTCTGCCCGTCGAGTCGCTATAAAATCTCAGGAATAAAAGTTTTTTAATGTGTTGCATTTCCAAAAAACCTAATTAATTCTCGTTCTTTCTTGATAACCAACAAATCTGTTTTCATCAACCAGTTATTGACACTGACAGAACCGCTGCATAAACAGATTTCAAAATAAGAGCATGAATTTAAACATGTAATTAAAGACTTTTTAAGTCAATGACAAAAACATCAAAACAGACGTCAAATTGTATTCACCTGAAACTTCATAAAGCAGCCAAGAAAATTAGTGTAAAATTAGCAAAAATGTTAAAGTACTAAACAAAGTATAGCTCTGCTATTAGCACACTAGCAGAAGATATGCTTCAAGACATGCTCTATGAAATGAAATCTGAATTTTCCACAAATAATTCAAAGTCATGTTCAAAACAGATGAATCCATAATACTGATGTAATTCCTGGATTTGTCAGGTTTTGTCTTTTCTCTTTAAGTCTCTGGGAAAAACAAGGATTTGGAACAAAAGGAAACTTTAAAGTATTACATTGAGCAATTACACAGAAACTAATTGTTGTTTATGCTGAAACACACAAAGTTCACCTTGATTAACTTTATTCAGTCGAGTCAAAGGTCAGCAGCGCAGGCAGAATTAGAAACATGCTGAGGCCTGCAGAGGAGCCTCCAGGGACCGCAGTGACGGTGACTCTTCATGGCACTCAGTGGATGTGTGAAAAGAAACAACGCCTCAGTTTTCCCCAACAAAGTGTGATCCTAATGGATTCATGGTGGATGACGCCGCTGCACTGAATCAGAGAGAAACGAGGAATTAGTCAGAAGGTTTCTGGCATTCTCAGGTTTATCACAGACACACACACACACACACACACACACACACACACACACACACACACACACACACACACACACACACACACACACACACACACACACACCTGGAGCACGCCACATGCGTTCCTGATTATTAATGCAGCTGTAGTTCATTTAGCACCAGAAGTTTTCTGAACTGTCCTTGGCTAATTGCCACCTGAGGGTCCAGCAGCGCTGCTTCAGGAACGCCGTCCTGATGTCCGCTCGCTCGCTCAGAGGAAAACTGATTATGTCTGGTAACAACAGAGGCCCGAGATCCAGAATAAAATCATAACCAGCCCAGGATGGGCTGATTATCAGTTTGTTGGATGTGAAGCGTCAGACCTCAGGCCTCCATGAGCTGTGCAGCCCAGCGCCTTTCATTGAGTCCCAACTTGACTTCTTCATTTTATGGACCACAACTTTTATGGTTCACTTCAGAATCTTTTGGGTCAATGTGACCAGAAATATTTGGTCATCATATATTTCACTGATAAAAAGCCCTAATGTAAATAGAGCAGATGATGAAAACTAATCTGAAAAATATGTTTAATATCATTTTACCAGCACTTTTAGGTTACACTCTCATTTTTACACACTTTTGAGTGTTTAGAAACACAGACAAACTTAAATAATTTGTCAGAAGATTCCTCCTGCCCTCCTGAGTAACATTTTCACCATGTCGGTTATTCACTTATGAATGTTTCAAGCTAAATATTCAGTTTACAAACTAAACATTAACCTCCAAGCTAAATATAGTTAGCAAGATAAAAACAAACCTTAAAACTATATATCTAAGTAGAAAGCTACATATTTAGGTAATATGCAAATTCACTTGCCAGTAACAGGAAGTGGGCCATCAAAATAAAAGCTGGATATTACAAACCCTGCTGGCTTTGCTCATTCGCCTCATCAAGATTATTTCTTTTCATTTTATCTTGTACAACATTTACACTTAAAACAAAGCAGCACAGATTTTTATTAATGGATCTGAATCTACAGACTCAACATCATCAGGTGATCCCAGCAGGCGGATACAGAAAGGAAACTTTTATTTTGATATTCCAATTTTTAATCTCTAAGATAAATATTTTGCTTAGAGCTAAATATTTATTCTATGAACTAAATATTTAGGTAGAAACAGTTACATTTATAAATGAAGTGTAATTATTTGAAAAATTAACCTCCATTTCTTTTTTTATGTAAATAATCCAAATTATTTCTGTTACTTTTTGGCTGTATAACTTTATAAATGGCACCACACATTATGATGACACCTCTTTATATCGCATTCAGGTGAAGGATTTGCAGGATGAAAATAAATACAAATATTAATAAAATATGATGAAACTATAAGTCAAGCAAATGTTCACCAATAAAGAAATCAAAACCGCTGAACAATTAGGATACAAACAATATTCAGTTCAAGAAACATAAAAAGAACAAAATCATTGCGGTCAGAATGAATAAAATGAACATGGAGAAGAGAAAATGCTCGATATTAAGCAGTGGCTGGTTGTAGTCGCTCTGATCTTAACTTTCCTTAACAAGCCTTTGCAGCACCACAGTCACTGTGACAGAAACTTCTCCCCCGTTAAACGTTTCTCCCTCTGTAGTGTTTTACCACTCCTCTATTTTCAGCTTGACTGCAGGGCATTTCCTGCTAAGCTAAATCAGCCGCAGTGCACAATGTCAGAAATAATCCTTACCTGCTGCTGTCAGGCTCTGCATGTTTTAAAAGGTAAAGTTAACTTTAGCAAGACAGCAAAAGAAAGAAACGAAGGAAGGATGGAAATCCTCTGAATGGGTTTTTAAATATTTGTAGATGGTTGGATGGTTGATGAGGCTTTTTTCCTTCGGCTCAGTAGACTGCAGTAGTTCCCTATTTTACATAAAGATAAGATTCAGCAGGAAATTATCTCCTTCCAGGAGACCAACTCCTCTCTAATTGAGCTCAGTTTTATTCATTTTATGCAAACCAACAATCGTTCCATCAAAAGCCCACACACACAGTAAACACGTCATGATGGGTTTTTGAATGGGACCAAAATGCAGACAGGAACTCACCAGGATCACGGTGATGAGAGTTCTAATAAAAAACAAAAAGTAAACTTTCACAAAGAAGTAAAGACACTTTTAAAGAATCCGAGTTTAAAAGCTCAGCTGGTTTAACCCAAAATGCTCCCATAAGACTTTCAAGCATTATTATATGTTTTCCAGGCACATAGTGCCATTTTATAATAAGATAGCAATGTCACCGTCAGTTGGTACAAAAATGTTCTGTGGGCTTCAAACATTTCATTTCTGTTTCTACCAGATTGAATGTTCCAGTATATCAGAATACTCAGAGCGGATCATCAAGTCCAACCAGCTGGACAGCGGTAAGCGTTTCCTCACAGGCTCTGAACCGTTTCTGTGTTGTAGAAAATTCCTCATTTTCCTGAATTTAAACCCTTAATAACCAAAAAATTACATCTGGAAATGGTGAGAGTTTGTGATGTCATAATATTTCCAAAATGGAGGCGTGTCCGTTGAACTTTGGCAGAAGTTTGCACCTAACTGTGTTACGTTTGTTGGGTTTTGCTAATTTTGCCTAATTGGTCAGAAAACACAGAACATCAATAGATTTGAAACTATTTACTGTAGAGCTACAGCAATGCATTCTGGGTTCAGAATAAATGTCATTTTCTGGGTCACAGGTGGAAAACGTGAGGAAAGGAAACAGAACTGCTGTGTAAACGCTCCAAATGTGAGCATGGATATAAAAGTTTCCTTTTATATTCACAACCATTGATAAACAAAACTTCTTTACAGACGTCACTTTATTCAACTCAGAGTTTTAGAATTTATCTCAGTTTATGTAAAGCTGTCAATGCTAACTACTGTTAACCAGAATGCTAAAGTGCGCAACAAAAATGTAGCTCTGCTATTAGCGCATTAGCAGAAGTGAGTCCAGCACTAAAAGCTTCCTTAAGATAATGAGTTAAAGGAAAAGAGGGAAGGAAATCATAGAAATGTGATGCAGGAGAATAGAAAGTATGCACTGAAGTAAAAGTGATTCATGAATAAGATCAAAGACCTCCATGTTAGTTTGCTCAGAAAACCTTCAAATGTCACAAATTCATGCTCTTTCATTCCTGAAGTCCTGCAAAGAAAAAAAAAAAGCTCATTTCCTGCAAAGCAACACACCAGCTGAATAATCGCTCCTGTCAGCAAATGTCTTATCTGTCCACCTATGAATAGTAAATTCACTGCAGTCATTTAGAGAAGCAGCGTTAGCCGTATGGAGGAGCAGGAAGCAATCAGAGCAGGACTCACCTCATTCTGCCAGTCGCTTGTATCAACACAGAAACAGTAACTCCTCACCACATCAGAGCAAACACCTCAAGTCAATTATTTTCCAGAAGAGCAAACATCCAATCCTCCACCGTCGACCCCAACCGGGTCAGATTTCATCAGAGCTCTTTCCCGTCCTCTCCATTAATTCGCATCCCAAACACCTGCTACCAAACACCACAGGCTCCCTGTACTCCCTCTGTGTGTTTCAGTTATCACCATATTCAAAGGAAAGGTGGAGGAGGTGGAGCTTCCTGTGGAGAAGGTGGACATCATCATATCTGAGTGGATGGGCTACAGTCTGTTCTATGAATCCATGCTCAACACCGTCATCTTCGCAAGGGACAAGTGGCTGGTATGGTGTCCAGATCGCCTGCGTAAAAAATGCATCTTGGTTTGATGCGTCCTGCTGTCAGCGACCAGATTCATCTCAATCGGCCTTCAAATAATAATTATATTTTGAAAGAATGGATTTATTGTCATGTAAAGGTGAAAAGCAGTTTGAATGGATTTAGCTCGATCCCAACAGAGAATGTTTTATAAGTAAAAATGTACATTAATAATTTAGAAGTTATTTTCCTTCCAGTGTATTTTTTCCTGTGTTCTGTCGAACAGAAGGCTGGTGGGCTGATGTTTCCGGACCGAGCCTCCCTCTATGTGTTGGCCATCGAAGACAGGCAGTACAAAGACTTCAAAATACATTGTAAGAGCATCACTCAGGCTTGTCTGCAGTCTAATGTTTTCCCTCCTCGTGTTTCCTGAGAACTGTTTGGCTGTTTTGGCTCTGAGTGACTAAAAACAATCAGATGATGGATGGACACTTATAGAAGCAGTTTGGGTTTGGCTCTCCTGCAGAAGCTTCCCTCGGGCTCAAGCCTTGGGGGCGATAACTGACATCATGGATCAGTAAACCCCTCCATCCCATCCCAAACCGCCCAGGAGGATTGTGGGTGAGTTTATTAGAAACAGCAGAAACAGCTGACTGGTCTCACGTCTGCTCATGAAGTTCAGACTCTTCACTGTAATCCGCCGTGATTCTGGATGTAGATCGCCGCACTCTGATCTGCTCAACTCTTTTCCTGGGGCGACGCGCCCAAAAGTCCTGACTGAGAAGTGGAGTTTGAAGGATTTCTGTATTCCAGGAGCCTCCAGTGATCAATGCTGCTCCAAACTCTCTCAGATAAGTAGACAGCAAGGAATGCAAATATAGTAAATCATGAAATCCCTCTGGGCTGCTCTGACCCGTTCATCATCGCCAGCGCTCCTCTGCACTCAGGTTTTCTCTTCTTGGAGTTGTTTTCTCACACGTCACCAAAAGAGCTTGTATGAATAATTTATGTTACCTCAGGCAACAAGGATTTGCGACACAGGCCGAAGTCTGACTTTAATCAGACCCATGATAACAGAGTGTTGCCCAACAAAACGGGACTTTCAGTGCGTCACTCTGGAAAGCAGCACAAACTGTTTGGAGGAGCATCCAAAGAGCCTCCCGTTGTTTCCCAGATGCAGCCGGGCTCTTCTGGAGCATCCAAACCACTTCATGTGTTTGCAATAAAAGTTGAAGACATGTGTGGCAGAAATAACTCCATGATGCCGTCATCTTCACCAGGGTGGGAGAACGTGTACGGCTTTGACATGACCTGCATCCGAAACGTGGCCATGAAGGAGCCGCTGGTGGACGTGGTGGACCCCAAGCAGGTGGTGACCAACTCCTGCCTGGTCAAGGTTAGTCTGGGAATAAAAGAGGCTTCATGAAGGCCGATTCCAGTTGGGTCGTATCGCAGTGACACCACTACTGATCCGTTAGCGGAGCGAGGTTTTCAATTAGCGCTTCATCCAACATCGAAAACATTTAGCACTCTCAACTTCTACAAATCACTTTTCAGAAAGAAAAAAATGCTGAATTGAAATAATTGTGGATCAAAATTCCTCCACAGTGATTGAAAAGATTGACCGGTTTGAACATTTGATGGAAGCAGCTGCAACATTTTACTGCTTTTCACTGTTTATTTTCTGCTGTCGTATAAAAATCCTGAAATGTTTTGAAAAGCGATTCTTGTGTTCGTTTATTTGTTATAAAGTTTGTTTTATGATTATAACCCAGCATGTCTCCATAAAACTCTGAAGTATTTTTTAGTTCATTAATAAACTACATGAATTATTGAAACTCCTGGATTTCTCATTTCACTTTGGCTGCAAAAACAAACAAAGCTGCATTTTCCAGAAATATAACATTATTAAATATCTGTTTATATCCCAAAAATACATTACAAGTGCTGTTTGTGCTATGAATCAGTTATTTTTATAGACCTTTCTGTATTGCAGTAAATGTAGCTAATAAATAATATTTCCAGCTGATGAACATCCTGCCAGGCTGCGTTTGACCTTGGCGTGCGGCGCCCTCTCACTGTCAAATGGTGCTGCTGCTCCTGCATGACAATCGACTCGTCGCATGATTGTTCTGTCTGAACTCACCAAGACCTTAATCAGACTGCTTCAGTTTGGGATGTTTTTAATTGGATGTTAATCCAGACTTTGACTAGGCCATTCTACCACATAAATCTGCCGTTGCATCTCTGGCTGTGTGTTTCTCAAATCTTCTGCAGCCGTCAGCAGATTTTCTTCCCGGATTTGACTCCATTCCCATCCCCACAGCATGATGCTGCCACCACCATGTCTCTGGTGGGCCTCTCTATTCTATAATGTTCTCTAACTGTTCACTTTTACTTCACCAGGTAAAACATTGATATTTACAATGTAAGCCTGGGAGAGCGAAAGCAGCCTAATAGTGGGCAGCATTATCTGCATACGTAAATGGACTTTATTTTGGCGCACCTGATTAAATGGGGTTTAATACATGACAGTTTTCAGAGTTTTGAAAACCAAGTTTTCATTCCATGTCACTTCTTTCAGGTTTTGTGTACAGTTGCATAAAATCCCAAAAAAAAGCATTTAATTTTTGGTTGTAATAACTGAAAAAGTCCAAGATGAATCTGACCTGATTTAGCACCTGAGAGTCTTTCTGAAGGTCCCTGACATGAGAATCTCTGTCCTGGTGTTTCAGGAAGTGGACATCTACACAGTGAAACCTGATGACCTCTCATTCACCTCGGCCTTCTGCTTACAAATCCAGAGGAACGACTACATCCATGCTCTGGTCACCTACTTTAACATTGAGTTCACCAAGTGTCACAAGAAAACTGGATTCTCCACAGGTAGGGGGCGCCGTGTGCAGGACGGCTGGAAGGAAAACATGCAACGTTTGCAGCTTCTAAACTGGAAGCTGCAGAGATGTGGAGCTTTATGAAACTGTGAACGAGTCATTCTACTCTCTGAAACCAAGAATCAGTGAAAACAGAATTCAAGAAGTGGCCAGATTTGGTCAAGTGACAGGAGAAGTTTAGTCAAACTGGAGCAGATTCAGGTTTTTACTGGACCTGGTTTGGAGAAGCTGAAAAAGATCATTTTTCTCCTAATTGATACCTTTACTCAGAGAATCACTAAGATCAATTTTATTGAAGTTTATGCTGTTAAGGATCAACATCCAAACATTTTTAGTTGGAGTTAATTAGTCAAAACTGATGTGTGGCTGACCTCTAGTGGAAGTGGAGAAGACAGTTTGATTAGATTTGACTTTTGGCAGGTTTGGACCTTTCATGAGGCAACATTAAGTAAAAATGACAAAGAATCAATTGTTCTCAAATATAGATTCAATAATAAATTAAGGTTTCAGCTGTTTTTCATTTTTGTATGAAATTACATGAAACTACCAGTTAAAATCTCTTTAGATCTTGTGCTTTTCAATCACTTTCCACAAATAACATATCAGAAAACAATCATTTATCCTAAACTTTAAAAGTGTAGATACATTTGTGATACTTTAAATATAAAAGATATTTATCAAACATTGTTTTTTTTCTCTAAATCTTCTGTATCAATAAAGCTTTTAAATGAGTTTTATTTAGCTGAACTGAGCTAAAAGTGGCTGCTGGTCTCCAACTTTGATGCATTTCTTGACAGTTTTTGTGGAAATGATCACAATCTTCTTTTCCTAAACTGAACTCAGAGACTCTTCTTTTCCCTCTCTACCTTTCTATTGATTTTCTGTAAGATGTTTGTTTAAGCAAGATTCTCAATGTCAGACCTGAAGACTCAGCAGCCCAGAAACTTTAAGATAAAGATCTGAGTTTCACACACAGAGAGAGTCAAACTGGATTCTCTGGAAGCAAATGACACCAGAGGAGAAAAACAACCCAAAGGTCAAAGACTCCATTTCACGGCCGTCAGTGGAAACGCCCTGTCATCAGCTGCATTAGCATAAGAAGCAGAACTGGGCTGCCCAAAAATACAGAGCTGAGCCTGTCCAGCTGCCTGACGGCTCCTTTCATCTCTGAGCTGAGAAAGACGGAGGCCATGAAGCCGAAGCCAGCAGGAAGACTGAAAGAAACTCGATTTCAGAGTCTCTGACCTTCAGAGCCTCCCTGACGTCTTCAGTGACTGTCGGGTGACGCGCCGTGTGTTCTGGTGCGGAGAGCATCCAGCGCTGGACGTCTCCAGCGAGTCTCTGTCTGAGCAGATGGACGGCAGCAGAGTCCAGAGAAACTGATCAGACATCTGTAGAACCGAACCCAGATTTAAACTCCTCCACAACGATCAGCAGGGGTTCACTGGTCTCCATCAAACCAGAAACTGAATCTGAAAACAATCGGAGATTTAAAAACACACATAGGATTAATTAAACAAAACCAACGCAGCTTTTTCTCCCACTTCATTATCATGAGCTGCTTTGTGTCAAACTAAATCCTCAACAATCCACTCAAGTGTTTTGGTTTTAAGGCAAGAGGTTGTGAAAAAAGGGTGTAAATACTTCTGCAAGAATGATTTTCAGGAAGATTAAAGTCAAATAAAAATACTTGTAAAGGAAGGATACAGTTAAAATTGCTCAGTTTTAGGAATCAGCTTAAAGCAGAAGTTTGTTACTGAAAGTGAGAAAGTTTCCTGGGTTGGTTTTGGTCACTTAATGTTACAGTTTCCATCCAAGTACAAATATTATTAAATCTTCTGTTCATTTGAAGGAACATTTCTGTTCTGTTTGTCAGCATAAACTCACCTTTGGTTGCTCCTTTGTTCAGATCCTCCATTTGGACAGGTGTGTGGGCAGGGCCAACCCAGCACTTCCTGTTCCTGTATAGGTTCATGATGCATTAATGCATCTCTGGGTTCAAATGAAGGATTTTCTGTATTTATTGTGTGTAAAGCAGCTTTTGCAGCTGCACTCTGTAGATCAGGGGTGTTCAAGTCCAGTCCTCGAGAGCTACCATCCTGCAACTATCAGATGCATCCCTGCTCCAACACACCTGAATCAAATGAATGACTCGTTACCAGGCCTGCTCATAGCTGAGCCTGATCTACTGGGAGTAAGGCTGCAACTAAAAGTTGCAGGACGGTAGCTCTCCAGGACTGGACTTGAACACCCTGCTGTAGAGTTTTTGCATTTTGAATAGATGAATTTAGAATTAGGTGAATAATCTGATTCCTGCTTCTTTGTTATCATTTTATTGCTTAGTTTAAAATATTTCATAAAAACCATTAGATTTTTCATCTGGGAGCTTAAAATGGAAAAATCTTCTAAAGTGGCAGAAAATGTTTGTTAATGTCTGTTAATAAAATCCAGCAAAATGAAACTCAGTGGATTCAAACTCAGACACACTGAATGAAATAAAAAACACAGTAAGTTGCCAAATTTAAATGGTTCTGATTGTGATACAGAGAAATGTTTCCCTATCCTGCAGCTACAGATTTTTTGAAAACTTAAGTAACATAAAAATGCTTTCTAATTTATCACTTTATTTTACACCTCTTCATATCGTTTGTGCCGCTGGCTGCAATAAACCTTTTCTCCGCAATAAAAGATCACCTGATGCAGATGAAATGAAAGCTGTGTTTTTAGATGGATTTTGCAGATGTGTGTGTGTTTGTGTGTGTTGCAGCTCCAGATGCTGCGTACACACACTGGAAGCAAACCGTTTTCTACCTGGAGGATTATCTAACCGTGAGGAGAGGAGAAGAAATCGCTGGCAGCATCACAATGAAGCCCAATGAGAAAAACATAGTGAGTGTTGAGTTGAATGGATCTCATGATCATATTGTATAATAATTATAATGCACCCCTTATTAAACCGCTCCTGAGGCTGTTTGCACAGCCAGCAGGTTGTTTGCTGAAGCAGCTGCACTGCGGCTCCTTCAGCAAACAGCAGCTTCTGTTGACCTTCAGTGTCGTCTCCACCTTTAAGGAACAGACAGACACTGTTTGCTTTCTCCTGCTGCCTGACATGAACGCTCCGTTTATCAAACCCCCGGCGCCCCGCTGTTTGGTCAGAATGATAAACCTAATTGTTCTGCCTCGGTCCTGAATTCCTTTGTGCCCTCTGCTGTGTGTTTGATCAGTTGTGGTCTGAAAAACCTGCCCTTTTTGTCTCTCCTTGCTCACTCACAGCGTGACTTGGACTTCACTTTTGAACTGGATTTCAAAGGGCAGCTTTGTGAGGCAGCAATTTCCCATGACTACAAGATGCGTTAGATTGGACAGCGGCGTCCTGCAGAGCGCAACATGGAGGACGGAGACGCAGATTCCTGAGGACAGACGGACGCACAGTGGGACAGGACAGGCATCATCATGCCCTATGATGATAATGATGATGATAAAAGTGAGACTTTGTGTTTGGAGAGCATGAAATCATTTTTTGCAGACTGTTAAAATTATTCTGAATGTAAAACAAACAGGTCAGTAATATTTTCTAGCGCTGATGAATGTTATTGATAAAATTGTGTTCATGTGAGACGCAGAGCTGCACCTGTATAATGATGTCTGCATTACAAATCAGTGTGTATAAAAAGTATTCACACCCTGGATGTTTTGCCCTTCTTGTATTAATTTTACAAAACAATCATGAGAAACAAAATTAGATTTTTTTGAGAAAAATTTTTTATTGTTTACGTAAAAAATTATGACAAAAACGAGCTGCAAACCCTAACGCACTAACTAGTTCTGCTAATGCTAAAGCGCTACAGCAGCATAGTATTTAGCAGAAGCTAATGAATACTGAAGTACTAAATTCAATTAAATTGTTGAAACCCATGCTCTAAAATTCCTCTAGATATTCTATTCATATTTTGTTTTGTTGTGTCTCATTTTGTTTCTCATTGAAAATAAATCTGAGCGTTTGAACATGAAGAGAGGAAACGCCCTTCAAAATAAAAACATGAATATAAATGTTTAACTGCTTGATAACCAAACCTACAATACAAATTTCAAGCTTTATTTAAGTTGATTAATTATCATGTTAGAATTTATCTGGAAACAATAAGCTGGGGAAGCCAAATGCACTGAACCATTTCAAAGTTAGCAAAAACATGTTTAGATTTAAGTTTTCCCTCTTAATAGTTTTCAATTTGACAGAGTTTCTTTTTGTCAACAATAAAGAAAAACTTGATGATCAAAATGAATTTTTAAAAGCAATAATAAGGGTAAAACATCCAAAGGGGAGAATCTTTTTTCCAGACATTTGTTTTTTTCCTCCATGCTTTGGGTTCACAGTGAACCACGTCTTTAAATTTAGGTACGACTTTCATGTTATGCACTGGAGCGACTCACTGAGTTGAAACCGTTTACATTTGTGAAAGTTTAGTGGGTAACATAGCAGTGAGTGAAAAGTGCAGCCAAGGATGAGCAACAGAAAATGTGGTTGTTCTATTTCCTGTTCCTGTCTTTGAGTGAGCAGCTTGTGACCACGCCCACATTCTGCCACATGTAGAACTTTGTGGTTTTTAGTTTGAGCTGTGAAGTTATCCCATTTCTGACATCATTTCTCAACCACACAGTGGGGGATAAGTACTGAATGCATGTTTTTCCTCATTATTGAATGAGTCCACTGATAGAAAGTAGATACCAGATGTTGTGATGTAATGACACAAGCAGAAAATGCTTTGATTAGTTTTTCTGTAGGTTTCAATTGGAGGATTTTATTTGTAATTCCTTCTTTTATCACATCCATGTGTTGACAGTCTGTCCCACACCATGATACTGCCACCTCCAGACTTCATGGTTGTTTATTCAGTTGATGCACAGAACCACTTCTCTTTCAAACATGCTGTGTTCAATGTTTGGACCTTTTCTAACCGCACTGTGTTCCCTCAGTATTCCACTAACCTTTTAGGTTTAAGGGTGCTTTACCTTGCTGTGTCTTTGGCAGTGTCTTGCACTGAAAGTCTGCTTTAAGGACATTGTAGTTGGATGCACTACTTATTGCTGTCATGCTGAAAGCTAATTTCTGGCCTTTCTGAACTCTCCTCCAGTCTGGTTTTGTTGGTTAACCCTGTCAGATGTCGTAGGAGAAGCAACATGTCAACATCTTGCAACTATTTAGAGGATAGAAATGTCATTAAAAAACTAATATCCTTCACCCATCATTAATAGCTTCTTGTGCAATACTTTCATAGTGACGTTTTCACATGAACAAAAAACAAACTTATTTTGCACCAATAGGGATAAGATTGTTTTCTAAAACCGATGTCTTGTCTTTCCATGCCTTTATGCTTCTTCATTCAACTTTATTTATAACTTAGAGACTAATTTGTCTCAACTTCAGTGCATGTGTGGATTACAGGCATTGCTAGACATCTGGTTCAAATTCCATGTTCGTATCCCCATAAGAAAAAAAACTGAGAAAAAAACTTGCTCATTTATCCTGCTGTAAATTAATTAATCCAACCTTCTACTTTTATTTCCTTGTTTAGACTTGGCTTTCGTTAAAACAATCAATATTTCTTTAAAATTATGCTGAATAAGAACTTGCATGATTTTACCATCTTAACTCAGATGAAAACATTTACTGACTTTTGAGGCTATTCAACAAAAAAAAAAAAAAAAAAAAACCAAAACATTTGTAGTGTTTCAGAAATCTTAATCTGCATTTCCGGCTCAGCTGTGGATCCATTTCACTTCTGCTCTTAAGGTCGTTGCCAAGATTTCAACAAGCCTCTTCATGTAATGAATCAGTTTGCTCTAAATCATCTGAAAAGGTGTTGCCTGGTCAACCAGAGGTCAGTGACGGTTCTGATGTGGGTTACGCGGCTCTTCACCCAGGGCGCCATCACACTGCGGAGCCTGGAATGAGTTTTCCAGGTTTTTTCTTGCCCAGGTGATGGGAAACAGACGCCTCCATGCATTATCCAGGCTCTGCTACAGAAATGAAACAACTTGACAAATTATAGCTTTTAAGAAGCATTTTATATTTTAAAAAGGTGAAAATGCCAAATGGAGGATTATGGGTAACTATGGAAGTAAAATTATATAGGAATGCTGGCATGAAAAGAAAAGCAGTTTGAATCCTAATTTGCTGTTTTTTGGGTTAAACTAATAACCTGGTATGTCAACTGAAATTTTCCTTTTATCTTTTATATTTTGTCATGTGACCTGAAGCTGGAATAAACTGGTTTGATTTGTAATGTTGTGAATCTAGTTTGTTTAATGTTTTAGTGAGCCACAGTCCACTGATGAATTTCACAAACATCTTCATTGACATTTCCATATGTTCATTAAATTAACGACTCTTGAAGTAGTGAAACATTAGTGACAAAAATAAAGATAGATATTAAACATACAAATTACAGAACATTTTCATAAAATACTTGGCATCTAGAATTAATCCAATCTGTTCTTAAAAGATACAACAAAATATTCCAAACTGTAATTTTTGATGAAAAATAAATTGCCACCCATCAACAACAATTAGTAAAACATTAAATATGTTAAACCTGGAACAAAAACATGTGCAATTAAAGTAGTTCTGTACAATGATGCTCTTTTTAAAACATTATGTGAAGAAATGGATAAACTGCACTGAACTTTGATCAGTTAAAACTTGACCAACGTTTTAAAGGTATAAAGTTTCATGCAAAATTACTTAAATTATGTTGCTTTGCTGTTATGTGTCATTTTAAACATGATATTGAGGAAGTGAAACATTCAGCACATCTCATAATGGATCTATAAAATAACAATCTGCTTTTCTTGAGTGAAATAAATATGTAAACAGATAATTGTAATATTCAAGTTTGGCTGAATATACAACTACAACAAATGTACTAGATATTCCAGCTAGTTCTACATTTAACCTACAACATCACAATGGTACTTATTTTATTCAGCCTGAATTTACTCTGTTCTCACTGGCACATGTGATTTAACTAGGACATTTAATGAGTTGGTTAAAGGGTAGTGCTGCGTTGTGGTGAGTGTTTTGTGTTTAGCAGCAGGTTCTCCTCTTTGAGGGGCTGCTGATCAGCTGGACCGTTTTCTCCTTCTGCTGGTCTTCTTGTTCCTTCAGGATTCTGGAATAAAAGATGATCAGTGTGATTACCGCACCACCACGTTTTCACATCCACTCCAATGGTTTAAGATGAGATGTTTTCCTTACATAAAGTTTTCTGAAAGTTAAATGATTTGAGTTCTGGAGTAATTACAAATCAGAATTTACTCATAAAAAAGTGAAATACTTCATGACAAATTGTCAAAACGGATCTTTTACAAAAACATGAACGCATTCAGAGGTGGTACACTTCTGCTAATGCGCCAATTTTTCACTTGGCCCTTTTGCAAACTTTGAAAATGCATATTTAAGAACATGTTTTATTTTTGCATTAACTGCTTACCTGGCTAAATGCACCATGGACTCGGCCACATTGGCTCCAGAACATGCACTGCATTCAAAGAAGGTCATCTGGCAGTCCTTCAACCAAACATGAATATAGGATTAAATAAAAGGCAGTGGAGCAGATTAAATGCATTTCCAGGTAAAACCTGGATTCTGACCCCAAATAAAAATTGAATACTTGTAGGAATTATTTCAAATTAAGACCTTGGCGAGCCTTTCGCCCACTTCCTTCTGAACTTCCCTCTCTGCCTCTTTGTCCGTTTTGTTTCCTAAGAGCATGATGGGTATTTCCCCACCATTGCCCTCCTGGAAAGCAGTAGATGCAATGAGTCTCGGACAAGCAGCTGGTTTTACTGCAGCAGGCTCTACAGGACTGGTTCCTATCAGTCATTTCTCAGGAAAACAGACTTTTACGCTGCGGATCCGTTACCTTGACGCTCGTCAGCCACTGTCTGACTGCAGTGAAACTCTGCTCAGCAGTTACATCATACATCACAATCACACCATCAGCTTTGCGAAAGAACTGCTTGGTGATGCTGCGATACCTGCAGGAGGAACAGGAAGTGGAGCAGAAAGGGACTTTTGGTCACTTCCTCCTAATGTCACGGTGCTTTAAGCTGCAGAAAAACCTGCAGAAAGCTGAGGACTTTCATCCAAGAGATGAGAATTTCTCCAAATTTCCAGACTTTGGTAAAGGAGCTTACCTTTCCTGTCCTGCTGTATCCCACAACTGCAGCGCCACCTGGCTGTTGTCCACAGTTATTGTCTTCACACTGTAGTCTATGCCTGTATACACACAAGTTAAAAAGTGATGGAATTTATTTTAATGTTCATCTTCTTTATTTCAGTACAATCTGATCATTTTGTGAAATATTAAAAATGGCTCCCAAGGCGACAGATGAGCCACTGCTGTGTCCAAACTGAACCAAAGATGATAAAAATGTATTCGTTTAATGGTGGGCATAACATTTAATAATTAAAGGAAAGAAAAAACGGAAAAAAAATATTTACTGCAAGCCACATTTTTAGTCTAACATCTAATTTCATAAAACAGAATGAAATTAGACATTATTTAAAGCATAACTCTGCCCTCGGACAAATTTTGAAAAATACCAAAGAGGGGGCGGAGTCAAGACACTGAGGGGCGTGGCCAGGTCCTCATTGAGTCATTGCCAACACAGTGCAGCCAAACACGACTTTGCTGTTTTGGTTTTCGTTGACTGACAGGAAGTGAAAAATGTTTACCGACAGTGGCGCAGGTTCCCGGGTGGAAGCGATCGTCACAGAATCTTTGGAGGAGTGAAGTTTTTCCCACGCTGGAGTTTCCCACCAGGACGACCTTGAAGAGGCGATCAGGAGCCGAAGGAACGCTTTCCTCCTGGGAACCATTAAAGGAAACGTTGGCCCAGTAAACCTGCTGGTTTACTTTCATCCAGCTCATGTGGCGACGCTTACATTGATGGTGGTTTCCTTTCCAACCGGCTGACCTCTTGGAGATGACGGGATCTTCCGTTCCTCAGACTGCTGCTCAGGGATCGGCGATGACCTGCAGTGAGGTTCGCTCATCACATCCACATCGTCTTCATCGTCCAACCGAGTCTCCACTTCAGCCCAGTTCTGCAGCGTGTTCTGAGCCAGGCTGCTGTTCAGTAAGTAGGGGAGGTGGTCTTCTTCTATGGAGATGATCCTCTGGAAACGACTCCCTGCTTCAGCCGGGAAGGTCGGCTGGTAGAAGCCGTTAAGGTTCTGCCTCAGGCGCTGGGGGTCGGCTCCTCCTCATCCTCACTGCCAAACACCAACATGAAGCTGCTGCTGCAGCTGCTGCTGCTGCTGCAGCTGCTGCTGCTGCTGCAGTTGCTGCTGCTGCTGCTGCTGCTGCTGCTGCTGCAGTTGCTGCTGCTGCTGCAGTTGCTGCTGCTGCTGCAGTTGCTGCTGCTGCTGCAGTTGCTGCTGCTGCTGCTAACCCAGAGCGTCAGCTTCACTTCTGTGTGGTTTACCTTTTAAACACATCTGTGTTTGTTTGCTTCACTCCATCAATAACAGATCGGTGCTTCATGCTGGTCTTGGTTCCTTTTGGTTTCTGCAAAGTGAGATTTGATTTTTAATTTTTAATACACAATTCTGAGAAAAAAGATCTGATAAATAGAAAATGCAAGCAGAAAATGTTTTATACTTCTCTGAACACAACACACCTGAAAGGACATGTCTCTTTCATCCCGCAAATGTTTGTTCATTTCTCTGAAATAAAAAGACAGATGAAAACTAACGGCTGTTTTAGGGGTTAATGCTGAAAGGTAGAAACGGGTCGGCACCTTTCTGCATTACTGATCACCTCAAACATCACTGACCATCTGGGTTTATTCAGGTGCCTACTCATGTTCAGCAGAGTGAATAAAGCTCTTGGTTTTACATGCAGAGCATAAAGAGCATTTCAACTCTTCATTCCAACATTGCTTTTATTTCAGTACGTCTTCCTGCTGCAGAAGGGAAAATCACATGATCGTTTTTTTTGCACATCTGAAACTTTCATGTTCAAGTCCTGGCCCTACTAGGAACATGAGTTCATTTAGATTAAGTACATAGATAAATTAATGCATTTAACTTTTTTTAATGCGTTTTTTGGTATGAACGTCAATCTGAAGCAAAAGCAACTAAGGTTCATCTCTGCTTCAAATCTATCTGACGCTGTTGTGTTCAAGTTGTGCTAAAATGAGTTCACCCATCAGTGAAGCTATGGTAGCCTAAAATAGCATCTCAATGCTAAACATGTAGCAGCTAATGCTAATGTAGCATCTGGAGTGAAGTTCCATGAATAAGAAAATCTGCAAAGATGAACAGAAAGAAACTCTTTGCTCCAATCTGATGGTTGAAGAATCTGGAAACTATAAAACACGGTTTTATAGTTTAAACTATATAGTTTTAGTTTTAGTTATAGTTTTATAGTTTAAACTATATAGTTTTAGTTTTAGTTATAGTTTTATAGTTTAAACTATAAAACATAGTTTTATAGTTTATAGAAAACTATGAAAATAATATTGTTGTTGCATTCATATGTCTATTTAACAGTTTAGCTGCAAAAAAGGCATTTGAATTGAAAATATTACTTATTTTGCCATAAAGTATAATGACAGACATTGTAATTGATTAAAACTGTAAGCAGAGTCCCAGCACTAGTTCATGCAGACAATGTGAAACGGTCGAAGTGTTTGCTGTACCTCAGAAGGTCCAGCTGTTTGTAGAGACTCGCTCGCTCTCGCTGCAGTCCTTCAGTAAGTCTGTAGATCTCCCTGTGTACAAAAACACTCAGTTTGCGCACAGTTCTGACCAGGTGGAGGGTTGCTGCTCCTCCTACTCATAAACAGTGGATATGTGACCTTCTGTCATGTCTGAAACTGGAAAGAATTAGATGCTCTCTTCAACACTCAACTGGTAAATTTGAAGAAACATGGGGGTCCTTTCTCAACTCTTTTCAAAATATGTAATGATGTTCCAGATCAATTAGGTAAACAAATTTGATCAAATTTGTTCCATTCTTGACAGGGATGGGAACGTAGTGCATTGGCCTTCTGAGCAGTGACCTGGTGGGCTGAATGGGATTAAGTTGAGGGATTAATTAACCTTTTGTTTTGTTTTCTTTGGGTTTTTTTGTTTGTTTTTTTCATATATTATTCTATGTCAGATAAACACTTCTTTGTATTCGCAAACTGTATGTATGAATGGAAAGAAAAAACCTCAATAAAAATACAGTGATTAAAAACACTCAGTTTGTTCTGCAGTTTTCCTTCAAATATGAGAAAACAACAACATAAAGAAAGAAGGTTCTGTCAGAGTCAGTAAGTGGTGTTAAAAACATCTGAATGTTTGCTCACATCTCCTTCTCCTCGTGAAGTCGAGCCGATTGCTCCTGCAGCAGAACCAGCTGCTCCTGCGCCAGCGTCAGCTCCTGGCTCACCAGCTCCAGCTCTCGGGCCAAATCATCGTTCGTCTGCTTCAGCTTCACGTTTTCCACTTTGGTCTCATGCTGCTCACTGTGGAGTTCTCGACACTGACACTCCAACTGGACAGAAATTGTTCAAGAAATGATTTCACTTTTAAATTAAAGATATTTTTAATATAAATTTGCACTTTTCACTTTCAATTTCTGTTTTGCGTTGATGAAATTATTGGAATGTGAATTAAAGCATCTGTTTTAGCTCCAGTAAATACAGTTTTAATAAAAACTGGAGAATAAAATGTCTTCATATTGACTGGCTTAGGTGCAACCATTTTAATCAGTGTTGATGAAGAGATGCTGAATGTCATCTTTATGTTTTTATGGCTTCATGTTATCAGTTTTTCCTGCATCTGATTCTTCCTGCTCTAGCAGTTTATGGTCTGTTTGATTTTCTCTTATGAATAAAAGGTTTTGATCTGAACGTTTCCACCGACCCGTCTCTGTTTCTGGAAGAGCTGCTCCAGATCCTTCTCCTTGCTGGACTGCAGCTCCAGGTCTTTACTTCGGGACAGATATCGATCGTAGTCCTACAGCAGGTATTAAGAAGAAAGTTCACGGAAATACTAAAAAAATTGACCAAATACAAAAAGTGAAGGAAAATGATTGTCCAGTTTTTACCTGCAGTAGTATTTTGTCTTTTTCAGTTTTTATCTGCTGCTCCATTTCTTCATACAGGTGCTGGATCTCATTGTCATGTGTTGCCGTTTTCCTAAAAGGACAAGAGTCATTACTACGCAATATAAGGAAATGAGCTTGTAGTTAAGGTAAAATTTGTGGGTTTTTTAAACAGGTGACAGAAACCATGACTTTTCGGTGAGGTTGACGGCGTCTCAGACCTTTTGAGGGCGCTCTCCATGTCTCTCTTCTCCTGGTTGGCGTCTCTGATCTGCGCCATCACTCTGGCCAGGAAATGCTCAAAGTTTGACAGAAGTTGAGGCTCATCGCGGCGCAGCTGCGCCCACAGGCTGCGCACCTCTGCAGGCCTGATGACACAGTTCAACCATTTTCACTCCACTGATTTTCAGTCAAACTCAAGTCTGTACTTTGACTAGGCCATGAATCAGCTTCAGACTCCCTCTAAAGGAAGATGAACAGGTCGAGGCTTTGGCTGTTTCTGAAGAACTAAATGAAAAAGTTCATCATTAAAACGAAGAGGGAAAAAAAGATTGTAGTTTTGTAATTGTTTCAAAAATTAGTTTAAAGTAAAAAAAATTGGATTCTCAATTTTAAATTTTTTTCTTGAAATGGGAAAAAAAAATGGCTGGACCAGAAACGTGTTGAAAACCTATTCAAATGTTTTAAAAAGTGCATTTCATTGTTGCAATAAATAAACTTTTATTGAACGACAAAAACATGAAAGTCAGACTAACATTAAAAAAAAAAGTAAAATAGGCTAAATTGTCAGAAATTCCAGTTTGGTTGCATCCAAAAACACTAAGCTGAAAACTCTGGTCAACGACTTGATTAGAATTTAAATTATTTTAATTTAAAATGTTTTTTGAGATATTCTGTGAACAGAGTAACTACAAGCATCTGGGCAATTTTATTGGGAATGTCACAAAAATCCACTGAGCTTCATTTAATGTCCAAAACCATGAAGGTGATCCTGAGCTGCACAAACTGAAATGATCCAAAATGTCGTCCTGCTCCCATCATGCTGCAGAGTCAATAACTTCCTTAAATGCAGATCCAGATGTTGAGAGAAGATCTGCATGTTACACAAGATTCAATCTTTAGTTGGACATAAAAAGGGCAGATGGGGAAAAAAAAGCCATGAAAAATGTTTACGTTTTAAAATAATTGACTTTAAATTAAGTTTTTTAAAGCTTATTAATTTTCTGCAGGTCTCCTGCTCTTTAGGATCCACCAACGACCGACAGGCAGCACAGAAAACGCCGAGCAGAACCTTCCGGACCTTTACTAAAATCCTCAGCTGAGTCTTTGAAACGTAGCGCCAACATTCAGACCTGAACCTGAACTCACTGTTCCAGGAGGCTGCTGGCCCCCAGGCTCTCCATGAGCATCGCAAAGTGCTGCTCATCCTCGTCATCCTCAGCCGCGCCTGGACCCTCCTTCCACCGGGACTGGTACAGAACCTCCGGCACGCTTTCACTCAGGTTCCTCTCAGTCATGACGTCATCCACAGAAATCCTACGGCCAAACAAAAATGCACCTACAAAAACATCAAACAGAGCTCATAAGCAACAAGCAGGTCAGAGGGAGGTTGGAGTCACATTTAGTTTTGGGAACTTACTTAAACCGGAGGAGAACTCTTCCAGCGTGAGGAATCCGTTTCCATCAGAATCGAGCGAATCGAAAACGTTCTCCAGCTCGTCTGCACTCAGAGGAAGCTCACCGTTCAGCCTCTGTCAGAAAGCACAAAAAAACCATCAGGTTAACAAAATCCAAGGACACGAGTGACACTGTAGCTATAACAACTGCCATGAAGGTGTTTTATATGGAGCAGCAACTATTAGTAAAGGAGAAAGACGCACAATTTCATCTCAGTAAACCATGATGTTAAGCAGGATGTTTAATGAACTGGACCAACCAGAGCAGGAGAATCAGACAAATAAACTCTCCCAATGATTTTAAATTGTTGCTATAAAATGCATTTGTACATTAAGATATATTTATGTGGAGGAAACTCTTTGACATTGGCAGCTCATCAGGTTAAAGGGAAGATGTAATGAGATCCTCTGGTGAGCCAACAGAGCCGCGCCTCTGGGCACTGTGGCTTTCTGTGTTTACACGGTTTCATGTTGACTGAAGTCGCCCGTAAAACCCAGAGCTGGACACAGAAAGGAAAACCTGCTTCCAACAACCAGCTGTTCTGGAGAGTCTTATCACAGCAGACCAGTCCAGCTGGAGATCCTGCTCTTAACCAACAAACTGATTCAACTGGAGCCAAGTTAAAGCCTCTGACTCCTCTCCTAAATGTTTCAGATAATCCATCAATGTCCCACAAATGATTTCAAATGATTTGACAGAACAAAGTTTTCCTAACTAACCTTCTTGTTAAATCAAATACACCCACCATATTGTTGGAGTGTAATGTAACCAACACCCAAATCCAAGGAAACCACTTTAGGAGAACCTGTCTGACAACATGAAGTAGGATAAAAGGTTCACCAAGCAGAACATGTTCTGATGTTCTGATGTGAAGAAATTCAGGAACACATGAGAAAATCTGACATCAGTGTGGAAGAGAACAAAAAAACCCCTGAATTCAGACTTTCCATTCAGAAAGTGTTTGTTTTGTTTTTTTCTAATGGTGAAATATAGTTTCAATATGGCTGCTTCTTTGATCAGCTGTGGTGGAAATCGGATTACTTTACCAGACAGACATGTAAGAGTTTAAACACAACGTAGCATGTAGAGCCTGCAACTCGGAGTTAATTTGTTTTGGTCCAGAGGTTTTCCTGCTGGGAATTCTCTCCATGGTAACTGGAACGCCGTTTCCTTGAATGAGGTAAATAAGGTAAACGGAACGCAGCTTAAAACTCTGCAGGCCTCCCTGCCTCAGTTAAGGTCAGAGGTCACAATACAAAAAAATTAATTAATTTAAAAAAAGAGGCTTTCATGGGAAATTTACAACAACAAAAAAATTGTAGACTGATGGAACAAAAGTACATTTTTTAGAAGGTGGGAGTCCATCTGAAGCTAGAACATTCAAACATTCAAACATGGCCACAGTGCTGAATTAAAACAGTAGAGACACTTTAGATTGGATCATAATTCTTCCACAAAGATGTGAAAAGCTTTACAGCCGTTATCAGACAAATGATTGCAGCTGCAGCTGCCAGGATTGTCACAGCCGCTTATTTGCTTTAGGTAGTAATTCGTTTTTCACAAAGGGCCACACTGGGCGGACATTTCCCCTTCATCACTTAAATCACTCGAAAACAGCTCTGTGTATTTACTCAGCTTATCTTTGACACAAAGATTTGTTTAATGATTTGAAACATTTCACAAATAAAGTATAAATCATTCAAACAGCATCTAATAACAGTTGGTTGAACTGCCTCTAATTAGCAGATCATCACCATAAACAGCAGATCAAAGCTCCTCCTGAGTATTTATGATCCATGGAAGTGGAGCATTGAAGTGGCTCATCAAAGCCCTGGATGAGCAACTGATGGACCAGAGAATCTGCACAATAATGCAGGTGGAGAGGCTGCGAGACAAAGAGTCTCCGTCTCTTTCATGTTGCTTTGAGTGAGCTGCACAGCAACATCACGCTCCTGTTTGGTATCAGTAATGAGCGCTCTGGCTGTCCCTGCATTCTGTTCAGTGGTGGGACAACAAAGCCATAAATGATTCTTTATTCTGAGAGGTGAAAAGGTTCAACGAAAAACACTAAACAAATCAGGAGTTTCTCCACTTTCATTTAATTACATGTTTCCTTGCAAATCTCTTCTGATCTAATAATATTCAAACTTCTAAACAATCAGGTTTTATCTGATTCCATTTCATCACATGAATCCATTTATTTAAGAATAAAGATGCAACAAGGATTTGGGTGCAATCTCCAGCCAGCAGGCTCACCTGCATGTCCCGGCGGGTGATGAATCCCTTGTTCTCCGTGTCGCACATCTGGAAGAACTGGTGAGTTTTCTCCAGGATAGTGTTCTGTCCCACATCTGAGCTCTGGCTCCTCCTCGAGTCGTCGTCCTCTGCACTCGTTTGGTCGCTGCCTCCTGGTGTTTGGAGCGTCGTCCGGGCCACTGGTGTCGGGACACGGCGCAGTGAAAGCTGCCATGGTGTTGGCGAGAGTTTTCTGTGAGCCAGCTGCAGACAGAGGGCTGGAGGAAGTGGAGCTTCAGGCTGCTGTGGAACCGAGGCTTTCAGGAGTGTCACTGATTGTCATCTCTTAGCAACCTCCTCTTTAATCAGTAGATGAAACCTATGAGGAGCACAGAAGGAGGGTCTTCAGTTACAACCTCTGGTCCAGTAGACGCAACAGGAGGAATTTACTGAATCACAAAAATAGAGTCCTGCACAACATTCACACACTTTGAAGAATCACTTTCAGAAAGTGATTCCTTAGAACAGATCTTTCACTCATGGTTTTCATTTTTTATTACTTTTGAGATTTGCCGACTGCGTTGCCAGTTTAGCCTTATTGACCACAGCAGGTGTTGGTCAGAAAGCATGCAGAAAGCCACCAGTGACCTTTGCTCTTTGTATTCGATGTTCCCCACTGAGACTAATGACTTCTGACAGGTGAACCTTTGCTTTATTGACTGGCTGATGTAACTCAGACTGGGAGCACTGGTTTGGAAGACTGCCTCCCACTTGCACTCCTTCAGTATTCTTGATTAATTTATGAGTGATGATCCATATTAATATAGATACGATGGAGACAAAACAAAACATGTAGAGAAACTGACAGCAAATAATTGGCTTTAGGAATAAGATAAATGATCCAAATAAAAAACAAAATCAGGTTCAATTTCAGTTAATTTGGAATTTAAGTCCAGTTCTTCCAAACTCTAATCCCAGTTCACCCTGCAGCATCTTTCATATTCCACAATCTAAATGTACTCCATCAAAGGAGATAAATAGTTCGCATATTTTTGGAGATATTTTCTGAATTTGTTTTGAAGTTGGAACAAAATATTTTTGCTCATGAGGAAACAACAAGTCATAAGAGAACCAAGTTCAAACAGTTTGGAAAGAGATGGAGGACTTTTTAACTCTGCTCACGATGCATTCACTGTAAATCGGAATTTTTTAAACCTGAAAAAGAAGGCAAGGACAACATAATGAAAGGCTCTAGGTAATAGTATTAAACCATATTACAGCCAGGACAGCCAGTAAAAGTTTGACTCATTTATGCTGTGATTAAATACAACCAGTTTACAATGGAGACAAATTTACTCCATTTACTTCAAGAATAGTCACTGAATCGGTAATAAAATAAATTGAATCAGAAGAATGGTGAGAAAATCTAAGCGTTAAGATCGATTTAAAATCAGACTAAAAGACTGAAAAACATGAATCATGTTTACCAGCCACAGCTGAAAGTTTGCAACGTTCATTTCTGGTTGAGTTTGCTGAAACTGGTGGAGAGGAAAACAAGAACTGCTTACATCAGGATCCATATTTTCTGACTGGATTCCTGTTTGCACATCAGTGAAGGTGAAAATGTTTCCCCTCTGGTTTTAGCCTGGCCTGCTTTGCATGCAGCCTTTATCAGTTTTAGGTCTCGACATGTAACAGCTGTTAGACCTGCAGCAGTGAGCAGCACAGGGTCCAACCACAACCAGGCTCTGCGAAACGTCCTAGTCCAAACCACAAAACAACACGATCTGCAAAAGCGCAGCGATGAAGGACCTACATGTGAACAACAATCACCCACCGGATCATGAACTGTCATTGAATCAGTTCAAGCAGCAGGAGTTTCATCAGACAACCTGCTGCTTGTTTTCTCAACTCACCTGAAACTTTCCCCGCCTCGTTTCCACGCCGTCCTGCAGGAAATAATCCATCTGAGAAAAAACAAATGCGTTAGAAAACAGGAATCACGAAGTCAACAAACATGCAGCTCCTTCAAACACCGGACTGAATTTCTGCAGCAGCTTCTGGGTGTGATAGAAGTTATTAATATCGAAAAGCTGCAATAAAAGAAACAAACTGCAGATAAAGTAAACAGGTGAAGCTGCTGCAATAAGATAAAACAAGTTCTTCCTCCCCGTCATTGAGAAACTTCCTCTTTCTGAAGTTTATTCAACAAACGCAGCATCATTCAGGCTCGCAGATAAACTTTCAGTGGGTGAAACTCACTTCGCTGTGACGCCGAGCTGCTTCTCACTTCAGCTGAAAACCTGAAACCCTGAAAACCTGAAAACTTTCAGCTGAAAACCTGAAACCCTGACAACTTTCAGCTGAAACCCTGAAAACCTGAAAACTTTCAGCTGAAACCCTGAAAACCTTCAGCTGAAAACCTGAAACCCTAAAAACTTTCAGCTGAAAACCTGAAAACCTGACAACTTTCAGCTGAAACCCTGAAAACCTGAAAACTTTCAGCTGAAACCCTGAAAACCTTCAGCTTCCCGAGCGGCTGGACGCAGTTTTGATCTCAGACGAGCCGGAACTGAACGCCTCAAACAGCAGAACCCGCCGTGCGGCGTTCACGGTCCGCAGGTGACGTCGCAGCTCCGACACTGCAGGAATTTCTCTGCTCTGTCGTGATGACCGAGGGGAGGGGCTTCGACATCTGCTGTTACCTTGGCAACGCCAACACGGAAGTTAAAGCTCATAAGACACGTGGTGTGAAAAAAAAAGACACGTGGTGTGGAGGAAATAACTGAAAGTGTTTACACCGTAAAGTTTATTTTCCAGACACGCACCAATATTTACACATAATAACTGAATATGACTGAAAAGTGAAACACATTGTGGATATGAATCAGTCAAAGATTAATGTTTTAATCTGACAAACAAGGTTCATTAAATATGACCAGTACTAATGATGATGATGATGATGATGATGATGATGATGATGATTAATATGTTATTTAAAAGCTGCATTTCAGAACATAGAAACTCAACATACAAGAACAAATGAAACCATTTAAACCAGAAAAAAATTAAATAGAAAGCCGAAAATAAAATGGTGCATGTTGATATCTTAGCTCTTTATTCAACATTTAATTGAATTGCTCTAATTAAGTATTTTTAGTGAACATTTTCAGTTCGTTTAGATTTTTAACAATGTTAACGTTCATGTACTGCTGAAAGCAGCTGTTTTAACAAACAGCTTAAAAACGAGTCAAGAGAACAGGATAAATATTCAGCTAAACAGCCCAAAGTTTTACAACAAAAAATGCAAAATGTGACTAAAGAACGGCTCACATATAGATCTGGTGATTAATAACTGGATAGAAACTGATATCCAGATGGATTTCCAATGTTTCAGATGATTTTCCAGGTTAGTAAGAACAGCAGAATCGTCCTGAAGGTCAGTAACTGTGAATGTATCGGTGAATGAATGAATCTTTCTGTGTTTGAATATATCTGATGAAAATATTGCTTTATTAGAACTGAAGCTCATCATATGTATCTCCACAACCATTGGAGTCTTCATCCTGATGCTCTTGTTGAACTTCAGCCAGCCGTCTTCACTACATCTGGATACAGAGACGTATTGATTTCCTGTCATCTAATTGGCTTTTAAGGTCAGTTATTTATTGATTTATTTGGGCTCATGACTAATTCTTGTCCTTTTGGACGAGCCGCCCACACGCCTGGGCTCTGCACCATAAAGTTGAGGACAACACGGTGAAACTTCAGGAAGTCTGCAGCAGGTTCAGCAGGTGATGTGCTGTCAGGGGCCCATCTGGGCACCCACTCCTTTGGAAACTTTCTGGAGACGCTCCTGCTCATTTAGGCTTTACACTCGACATGACATGGCTTCAATCCAAGAAAATAATCTTATTTGTAATTTTAGGACACAGAAATGAATGAACACATCTGGGCAGAATTGTTGGCATCCCTCTATTAGTGAACGAAACATTATTATTATTATTATTATTAATAATAATAATAATAATAATAATAATAATAATAATAATAATAATAATAATAATAATAATAATAATAATAATAATACATGTAATGTTTGAGTTTCTGTAAATGACAGTGAGTCCTCTCCACCTGTCCACAGGTATTCAGCTGAACTCTGTCTCAGCTTTAACGGATTCTTTCTCCAGGTGCTTCAGCTCCTTTCATAGATGCTCATCAGGATTTAGATCAGTTCTCATATAGGCCCATCCAGAACAGTCCAATGTTTTGCTCTCAGTTCATCTTGGCTGCTTTGGGTCATTATCCTGTTGGAAGATCCTTCGCCTGAGACTGAGACCAAGTTTTCTGACACGAAGCAGCACATTTCTCCAGAATGCCTCGGTAGTCTTGAGATTTCATCATACTCTGTACCAGTTTTCCTCCTGTGACCAGAGAGGTTGCCTACAGTCCCATGGATCTCAAAACTCTTAATAATCTGAGGTCAATGGGGCATGAAGCTGCTTGGAGGTGATTTTACAGCCTTTACCTTTAACATGCTGGTCTGTAATTTTCTTTCTAACCTGCTGGATCAACTCTCTCCTTCCTGTAATCCATGACAAACAGCACAGTTCCTACATGTACACTGTTAACAGGCCAACTGACTGATTCATTAGAGGACATCATACTTTAACATGTCTCTATCTTGATTTTATTTTCTGACTAACATTATTTCTGACCAGGAATCAAAATTCAAATTTTCTTTGTTTCATTGAAAATCTGATTGTTATTTCTATCAGCAATTTTGTCTGGGTGTGAAAAGAGATGGATTTTTTTTGTGTGCAGATGTAGTACCAAGATAACCCAGAAGAGGGCAGTACAGGATGGATTTTTAAAATGACACAAAGAGATAATTATCTTTGCTACATATTATTTCTTCCTGTTATAGAAGTCAGCATTTTAACATCCTATGTTGAAGCAGATGCCTAAATAAAGGAAACTTTTCATCACTTGAAAACGTTTAATGTTTCGCCCAAAGGCTTCTTCTCTCATGATCATAGGTTACGATGTAAAACGCTGATCATTCTCATCCATGATCAGAGCAGAGGGATCATGTTGGCTGAGAGGTGAAACAGAGTCTAGTTGCCTTCAGTTTGGGCCCACAGACTCTTTTATATTTCAACCTCTGCTGCATGAGTCTCCTCTCATTCTTCTAAATCATGTCAGCAGCAGCCATGCATGGGGACATGCAGGTGTGAGGCATGTCCCCATGCAGGATACGCTGGTCATGGATGTTCCACACATGTTGTTCCTTTGATTTTCTCTCCTTCAAAGTGTTTTTTGAAACACTCATCTGCAGGAATTAGATGAACGAGTCGCATTGCTTCAGTTGGAGCCAGATGTGTTTACACCGCCGGACACTCTGGGATTATTAACACTACGATGGCATCAAATCCTGATCCTGTGTTAGCAGTGAAACATGCATTTCTTATACATGTTATCAGCTGCAGGTCCCTCACCCAATCATTTAATCCCACAGAGGAAAAGTAAGACGTAGCAGCTGCCACCACTGCTGGGAGCAGCTGACGTCACAGTTGGTTGGTTGGACGATGGAGGATGTGGTTGTGGCTCCTGAAGTCACAACCACTTCTGTGACTTCAGGATCCTGCTTTTCTCTCTGTGGTTCTGGGATTACACTGATCATATTTATGCTTGGCTAAAAGCATTTCTGTCTGTTCTCAAACCATAAAATCTTCTCCTAGGTCATCTCAGGTTGAACTACACCTGAGATGAACACCATTGAACCTTAATGGTCAGGTTAAATGACCATTAAGAGCCTCCAGGGGGCAGCCTTCTTCAACCCAAGTCAGTGGTGAATAAATTACATCCCTGACAGTTGATTTCTATAATCACAAACCTGACACAACTGGGCCTCATATGCAATAAAACATTATTGCAGAGCAGAAACTATAGTTTTAATGAGTAGCTTCGGCTCTTACAGTTTATTGTCTGCACATATTTGCAAACCAAAGAAAAATATGTTTATTCCTGGTGTTTTGTGGAAGGGAGTTGTTTAGAGTGGAGTAAATAACTTTGTACTGTGGGAGAGTAAATATGGACTATAGTGAAAATGTTGATTTGTTTTTAATGTGCCGTTGTCTGGGAGCTACAGCTAACTTAATTTGCAGTTACAGGAAAACACCCCGTTGGTATTTGTGTCTTCCTCGTGTTTCTGCTTTCATTTGTTACGTCCATGTATCGCTGTGCAGCAGTGATGAAGAGCTGACTCGTGCGGGTTATTTTCCAAGAAAGAGGAGAGTTTGGCGTGAAGTTATGTGGCATCCTGGCAGCTGGCCGAGTTGGACTCACAACAGGAAGACGGGAACATTTTCTTTTACCTGATCCACTGCAGGATGGATACAGACACACAGAGAAACAAAGTCACACAACACCAGAACGTTTTTTAGATTTTATAGTTATCTACATAACGCAAGGGAGGAAGATCTGCTCTCAGCTTCTCACCTGGGATTTCTACACATGCTTAAAATAACTTTATACCTTCTGCATGAGAACCAAATGCAACAAGACAGGAAACATTTCTTCTCATTAAATTATTTCTTCAGGTGTTTATAATGACAACAGGTGATCTTCCTATTATCTAATTGTAGATTTGAACATTATAGCAGTTAAAGTAAATCAAAATGTTTTTATATTCAGTTTATATGTCATAATAATTATGACAGAGAAAATGAGTAACACTGATCACACTTTCATCAGTGGTTATATTAGGAATCATCATCGTCATCATCATCACATCATCATCATCATCATCAGGACAGCTGTTCTCGACATTAACTGAGCACTCAAACGTTTTTATTAATGTTTCCAGTTTAATATGTTTTACAAAGTTCTTACATCCAAAATTGCACAAACATGAATGAAATGAAATATGACTAAATATGACTTTCATACCAACCACTAAAAATAGTTTTTTAATAAAAGAATCATTGCTGCCATATTTGAATGCGTCCCGTTGGGTTTGTTTCCACTGACTTTGGTAACCTGTGCATGTTTTATTTGACCCAGGCTTTCACGTGTCAAATTTTACAACCCATAGTAGTTAACTTTGGGCCCAAAGGAGGAAAAAAGGACAATTTTCAAGCCTGCAAAAGTTGAGGATAAGTGCTACTTACAAAAGTAAATTGCAGGTGTTATTTCAATCATGCCAGAAATCCATTTTGGGGGTAAACTTTGAGTTTGAGTGGATGAAGCAGAAACTTCTGGGTGTAACAAAGAAATCACATTTTATATGTTGCGTTTTAAAGCAGGAATGTCAAACTCATTTTGGTTTTGGGGCCGCATTCAGCTCAACCTGATCTCAAGGGGCCGCACAAATTCACTCATTGCAAGATTAAATAGAACTAATGAAAGTGGACTCGTTGATTTTTATATTAAACAAATTTCACTTTTACAAAAATATTTATGAATAACTTCAAACTTTTTAAGAAAAGTATTTACAATTTCAACAATAATTTTACTCAGTTAAACTGATCACAGTGATTGTACAAAGTTGCAAAACATTTATTCAGTTTTTGGAACTTCAAACA